TGTAAGCCCTCTTGTTTGTTCTTTTTTCCTTATTACTTGCATAAATTAGTGCCATATAAGGTTTATAGCGGCCACCTTAGGGAACAGGTTTTTTGGCCATTATAGAGGAGTGACCTTTTATGGCGTGTTGTTTGTTTCATTGTGGTGAGTAGTAAAAATGACTCGTGAAAAGCCCATAGCTCAGTAAACACTAATAATCAAGTCAAAATAATAATAAAAGGCATTCAATTTCATTTGAAATCTAAATTGACAATATGATCAGTAGTTATGCTTATAACACTGTCTCTGGCGTCTTTTTTGTCTAGTCCTCTTCTGGCTAATTCTTCTTCATATTGATGCAGATGTTGTTGCACTTTGTCATATTGAATGGAAAGGTACTGTAGATGAAATTTCAGTACATTCTTCATTGATATCTGCTTCAAAATTTTTGTCTCTGACATGGTACTTCTTTTGTTGTTGAGAATAATTAATGCAAACACATTCACTCACTTAATACAGAACCTTCTTGTAAAATGTTGTCAATAGGAACAACATAAATTTTTCTCTTTAGCTATTCAGCAAGTATGCATGGACTATGGACTCCATCTATGCTTCTATGGCCATTTCACTTTATGATGAGCTGTGCATCCACTCCTGCATGACATAGTCACCTTGGAAATGACGATTGACCAGTTTTATGAAATATCAGTCTTGAAGTATTTCCTTTATGTTCTCAATGTTAGCTTCTTGTGATTCACTGTCAGCCAAAATGATTTATATTTTTAAAAATTCTTATCAAATATAAAGGAGGGGAGAAATTATAGGAACTGATAGATAAAAATAACAATAACAAAGACTCTAAACACAAATAACAATAATAATAAATTATGATAATATATTTTATTTCTTTATTTTGATGACACAGTCATTTTCTACTTGACTACAATAGTAACCTCATTTATGTATAATTCGATATTGTCAGTCACATGACAGACATAAATCTAAACAAAAAACCACTACTGAGAGGGAGGCTGGAATCAGCTGTATCAGAGCATTTGATGATAATCTCTGATCTCTGGGGATTAAGAAAGAGACCTCACTCTGTAAACTGGAGGTATCACTGCATAGGAAGGGATAGTGCAAGACCTTCCAAAATTAAATCATCAAGATAGGCAACACAAACGTGGAGCTGCAGGGTAATTTTTAATAGGAGAGGACCCAAAGGCGACCCTGTTGGACCACTTCAGATGAATTCAAGGAGGCTAAAACACAAAGGGAAAAATTTGTAAAACAAATAGATTATTACATACATTTTTTTCTAACAAATTGAAGGCATTTCAGAAGTCTAACTTGATTACAGTTTCATCTGGTGCTGAACTCTCTAGGAAATTGTGACCAGCATGT